CGACCTGGACCTGGACCCTCCTGAGACTGCCAACGCGTTCCTTCTCTCGCGTCCGCTCCTCCTCCTCATCAGGACAAGAAGACATGACTGAAGTGCACCTAACCAAGCAGGCGGCACCGTCGATCGTTTGTAGAAAACGCTATCGAAACAATACGCAAGTCACGAACGATGAGCACGCACCCTAAAGTCCTACTCCGTGGGCCCGCACTGCCCTCCCCATGGATCTGTGCCCGTCGGCATGCGGCTTGACGTGGACGCGCTAGCATTGTCCTCAAGGGAACTTGCGCAACAAAAAAACACACTACATTCCGATAATGCCGTCTGAAAGCAAACGTGACCCATCGATTCTCCGGGTGCGTGTTTCAAGCCGGGCCTGACTCGAGCGCCTCCGCAATGTGCAGAGCGCCTTCGTACCCGATGCTGTTCAGGGCGAGGCGAAGCTTGGCAACGCAACAGGTGTCCTCATGTAAAGCGGCATCAAGCATACCCTGACATTTCGAAAGCAATGTTGATGGACATGGCGAGCATGTGAACAAAACACGGTGGGACAAACACGAGTGCGGCGCTCTCGTATGGATCGATCAATGGATCAGTACTCATGGCCGTAATGTCAACAACGATTGCATACACGTGGCGCTCACGTTGGATACATGACACACTGATTGGCGGCGCGCGTACTGATGAATTCGTCAAGTACTGTTGCTACGGTCAGCACGTAAAACTGCACCAGGGCGAAAGAACCAATACCCATATCCATATTTGCCATGCAGGACCAGGTGAATGACGACGTCAACAACAAACAGAAAGATGCAATTAAGGCAAGCCGCCCGAGTATACCTGGAAACATTCAAAACCCACTTTCGATTCCAGATTCGATCGAACCCGCAACGACATTAAATATGCTCATGCTGACACCTTTGCCATGGATGTTGTATTCGTGCCTTTGTCAGGCCGTCTGCGAACACTCCGAAAAGACACACTGGAATCGGTGTGGTGCTCATTTGCTGCTCTTCGCTTGGGCATGGCATGGTTGTCTGACCGCTGACACGCAATGCAATGCCATTGTCCGTGAACTTTGGGCGGCCTGATCCACGAACACAAACTGCCAATTATCAACATGTACTGCTGGTGTTGCGTAATAGCTGTAGTCGTTATAACACACGTCAGATGCAATTCAAACCGAACCGTGCTTCCAAAGAATATCCATTTTCCCCACCCGACAAGTCATGGTTGTTAGGTCTTGAGAATCTTCCTCCCGACCCGCCCACCCTGCATACCGCGCGGCCGCCACGTGCCCAGGACCACCAGGGACCCCATGGGCATCCTGTTTGTGGGCTGCCAAATACCGCGGCCGTCAAATCTCCAGGGCACAAAAGATCTCGCGGAGATCCATGTATGGCCCAGCACATGCCGCGGCCCATGGCCACCAAGGATCCCGCGGGAACGCCGCCTGCGCGCCGTCACATAAAAAGCATGGCATAACAACGTACACAACAACATAACTGGCACGAATCTAGTAGACCACAATGGAACATATAATAGTCGAGTATAACTGCATATGAGAGAATTGACCGTACGTAAACAATAAATAAGAGGCCGTAACATAACGTGAAGGCCATCAATTAACACGAACGAAATGAGCAGCCCCTGACATAACAAACCATAGCGGAGCGTATAGTCACGGAACCTAGCAGAACATAAAAGGGATCTAATCATAAAACACAGGTGACAATATACAAATGGCATAAGCACATGTAAAGTAATAGTGCAGAACAGACTGTAGCATAACAGAACATGAGTGATGACGCAAAACCAGTGGCAAACGTCACGGCGTCACGCCGGCCCACCGAACACCTAACAGAACAGACCGCACTAGAGTACAATTCCCCGGCCCAACGCGCCAAAGGCGAGCTCAAGTCTCAGGTAAGAATTAAATAATGTTTCTAGCTCGCGCGCGCGCGCGTGGCGGCCCCTGGAAGTCCCCAAACGAACAAATACCCCGGCAAGGTCCCGGTAGTTCCCGGCAAGGTCCCAGTAAGCTCCTGGCAGGGTCGGGTCAGAGAGTCCCGACTTCGTGGGCGCCTCGTGGGCCCCCCGAGCGCCCCAGTGAGGCGCCAAAACTGTTGCACGCCCCATGGACTCAAGCCGAGAGCGTACCAAAATGGCCAACGCTGGTCCCAAGACGGCCCACGAAGCGCCCAAGAAGCTCCAGGAGGGTTCCAAGAGGACTTCGAGGGGCCCCGAAGATGCAAAGATAATTGGTTTCGCTTGGACGATTTTGGCGGTACCGCCTTTTCGAGCTGCCGACCGCCCTGGACGGCCCAAGAAGCTCCACGATCGCTCCAAGACGGCCCAAAAAGCCTCCAAGAGGGCCCCCAAGTGGCCCAAGATGGCCCTAAGACGGCCCAAGAGGCCTCCAAGACGGCCCTAGGATGGGCCTCAAGAGGGGGCCCAGAGAGGGAAGCCGAATAGGCACTTCGAGCTCTCGGCCCCAAGAGGCGCCCAGGAAGCCCCCAGAGCCTCATAAGAGCCCCCCAAGAGGCCCCAACAGGCCCCTAGAGGCTGCAAAAGAGGCTCCTAAGACCCCAACAGGCCCCCAGGAAACCCCAAGAGAACCTAAAGAAGCCCCCTAAGAGGCTCCCCGAGAGCCCTCCGAAGAGACCCCAAGAAGCATCCACGAGAACTCTGACCCACAACCCAAGTACATCTCTAAACTCTGCTGGAGCTCTCTTGAGCCAGTCTATCGGCTCTCTTGGACAGGGTGCAAGCCACATCTCCAAAGATCTCCTCGAGGACAGACCTGCCTGCCCTACCGTTCCCCATAGGTACAAGCACACCACCATACAGCCACCGTGATGCGAAATGGGCTGGCAGAATAAGCATAACGATTATGCAAGTATAACATAATTTAACAAACCGTACTTGAGCAGTCAAGGATGCAACACCGACCGATTGACGTGGTCTTATCAAACACAACATATGCGCATACGTCAGGCGGCGGTATAGCATAGTAGACTTAAACGAGACTAGGCGGCACGAAACGAGAAAAACATGTAACCCAAACTACTGTAAACGAACAACGCGAAAAAGACTCGATACGAACATAACATAGTTGGTCACGTATCCAGCGTGACAGGCGACACGAGATCACGCGGGCCCGTCGAGAACATATGATAACATACTGTGATCAACATAACACTCCGTAATTGTGGATCCGAGTCAGGGGGCGGGCGCGGGGTGGGTCGCGGGCAGGTCGCGGGCAGGTCGCGGATGGGTCGCCGGTGGGTCGCGGGTGGGTCGCGGGCGGGTCGCGGGTGAGTCGCGGGCCGTGTCGCGAGTGGGACGACGACGACGACGACGACGACGACGACGACGACGACGACGACGACGACGACGACGACTACGACGACAACAACAGCGAATAACAACAAACAACAACGCAACAACAGTCTCCACCGCAGAGCCCCATTTCAGCCACGCGCCCAGGGACATTCAATGACCGGTCGGCCCCCCCACTCTGACTATACAAGGGCAGAGCCGAACATAACATACAACATACTCATACACTAGTGCCATGAGCATCCAATGACTACACAGCACGCGCTCCGCGTTCACCCTATCACTAATCACACATTCCAGGGGTTCGACGTCACGCTGGCCCCACAATGGCCGAAAAGCATCCAGCTAATGTCGGTGGGGTATCACTCGAAGCAACGCTTTGCCAAATCATCATGTGGTGTTGGGTCCTCGTTTTGAAGAGACAGCGGCCCGCGTCTGACTCACTCCTCCTTCTCCTCATCCCTCTCCTCCCTCCATCATCATCGCTAGCATCCATCATCAACATCATCACCATCATCACCATCTCCACCATCATCATCACTATCACCATCACCATCAACATCAACATCACCACCACCATCACCACCACCGTCATCGTCAATCGTCATCATCAGCATCAACATCATCATCATCATCATCATCATCATCATCATCACCAGCATCATCATCATCAACATCATCGTCACCAGCATCGTCATCATCATCATCGTCGTCGTCACCATCGTCATCACCATCGTATTCCTCATCCTCACCGCCATCATCACCCTCATCGTCATCATGATCGCTGTCCTAATCACCCTCATCGCCACCAATTTCGGCACACCCCTCACACGTTTCGTGGCCATACGGAGCTTCACCGAAAGCCACAATGGCACCGTCCACATGTGCCCGCGCCACCAATGTCGGCACAACCACGGCAAATTTCGTGGCCCCATACGGAGCTCCATCGAACACCCAAATGGCACCATCCACATCGGTCGGCGCCACCCATTTCGGCACACCCGTCACACGGTTCGTGGCCCTAAGGGCTCCACCGAAAGCCCGAATGGTACCGTCGACTTGCGTCCGCAACGCCAATTTCGGCACACCCCTCACACGTTTCGTGGCCCCATGGGGAACTCCACCGAAGGCCTGACTGGCACCGTGCACATGCGCCCGCGCCACTCATGTCGGCACACCCCTCACACGTTTCGTAGCCCTAGTGGGAACCAAACCCAAGGGCCCAATGGCGCCGCTCGCATGCGTCCGCGCCGCTAATTTCGGCACACTCCTCGCACGCTTCGTGGTCCCATTGGGAGGCCCCTCTAGGGGCCCAGTGCCGCCGCCCGCATGCGTCCGCGCCGCTCCTTTCGGCGTACACCTCACACGTGTTGTAGCTCCATAATAATAGATTCCACCTAAGGCCCCCGTGGCGCCGCCCGCACGAGCCCCCGCCGCTCATTCCGACGCACCGCTCACACGGTTCGTGACGCCAGTCGGGAGCTCCACAGAAGACGGTAAGAACAGCTGCGCCACTTGCAACTGCATATGGTTGGATTCTTCGTCAAAGTCCCTGCTTGGTGATGACCCAGCTGCCGTGTTTCTGAACGCTTGAAGGGGCCCAAGGACACACAAATACATACACACACAAATAACAAGGTCCCCCATAGTTTTCCATATTTGTTGGATGTTCGTCTTCCCCCACATTTCCAATATTCTACGGGGAATCGACGATTAACTGTGTCTGTGTGCTTTTCCCTCCTGAACGCTGTTCGTCCATGAACTTGTCCTGTTGGACGCGCACAGGGCCAGCAGACACGCAACAGCACGTGCCAGCACGAGCGAGCCGATGGCCTTGCAGAGCAGACGGGACGACTGGCCTGACGGGGTGGACTCTGCTGACCATTCGGGGTACCAATTACGCCACTGGGGGAGGAGCTCGCGAGACCGTGGGAAAGCGTGGGAGCCCCCACGCAGGGTCAGGCGGGCTGAGAAAGGCCCGAGAGGACGCCACGACACTTCAGACAGCCCCAAGAGGGGCATCGGGCCGCCAGGATAGCCACCAGCCCGCTGGGGGCAGCTTCCAAAACAACGCCTCCCCCCATAGTCGGCTACACGCAAAGGGTGACCGTAGGCAAGAGAGACTTTTGGTGCGCGGCGTCAGGGGACCGCGGGGGCCATAACCCAAGAGCGCGAGCCAATGCTGAGGGTGCCCCTGGAGGCCCCCACTCAAAGGTCCGTCCAACGAAGGGTCGCGCCTTTGCGAAGCCGACCTACTGTCTCCGCAGTGAATGGACCGGGCGTCACCCGTGGCTGGTGAGCCAGTGATGGTGTAAGATTTCTCCGATATGGCGAGCAGCAGAAACCAACCTGATTACATGCTACGTTCTACAACACCAACCTCTAGTATGCTTGACGCGCCCCGTCAATGTCGTTCCCTTTCGCTCCCTCAATGTCGCCCCCCTTTTCAACGTCGAAACGGAACGAAACGCAATCTGGGCTGGTGCTGCTCGGAAACTCCACGATGACAGACATTGACAATGGGGGCGCTAAATACTTCGCGCGCACTATCGCCGAAACTAAAACATCAAATGTACGGGTAACCTGCGTAATACGTTACTGAACACAATTTTGTCGGGGGTAGTAGAATCCCCCCTCCCCTGCTCCTGCCTCACCCCTCCCCGTCGCCATCATCGCCGTTTCCTGCTTGTCGTCTTTCTCTTCGTGCTCCTTCTCCCGAGCCCTCGTCTGCTCGGGCTCCTCTTCCTGCGCACCTCTTCATCATCTTCACCCTCATCTTCGTCATCGCCGCTGTCGGACCGCGGCGGATGTAGACTGAAAGAGAGCATCGGTCCAGTTTGATTGCGCGGGCAATGATCTGAGCTCCCTCGTCGCCTGCAGGGTGCCCCCGCATGTCCCTTTTTTTTGACGCGTCGGGGGACAAAAACAGAAGAATGCCAAAGACGAGGGGCAGGATCAGCATGACGGGACATATGATCATACGAGCAGGGCGAAAAGGAAAGGTGGGGGACAGCATGCTGAGGAAGAGCTAGCCTTATCTTCCTCCTCCTTCCCTCTGCTCTTCCTCCTCCTCCCACTTCTCCTCTTGGTCACGTCCTCCTTCTCCTCCCGTCTCCCTCTTTCTCGTGTTCTCTTCATCCTCCCCCTTCAGCCTCATCATACTGATCACGCCTTCCCCTTCGCATGTTCACTATTCTAAAATTGTTTCAGCCAGCGCGGACCACGAATAGTGCGTTCCAGACTGCTACATGGTGCAAGGCATAAGTGGTGCAACTAATTTCGAAGAGCTTGGAACTATCAGCTCCACTGCTCGCGCAATCACCCCACGCACCCAAACGATACTTGGTGTGCAAATCCCACGCGGCGGGGATTGTGATGAATGCTTGGCGCTGGCTTGCGCATCTCTGCGGCCGAACTAGCGCGCGTAAACTCGCGCGCAGGGCGACCAATCAATCTGACACAAACGACGCGGCCGCAATGGCAGTGACCCATGGGAATTGCCCACCGCGACTCGCAGGCCGCGCTGGCGCGCGGGCATTTGGGCGCGGGTCGGTGATTCGGGCGGGCGCTTTATCATGGTCACGTCAAAAACGGCGGAAACAATGATGATAGTAGCGATAATGGTGGCGGCAATGCGATGACGACGGCAGTGCTAATGACGGCGCTGGTGCTGGTCACGCCGATGACGATGACGAAGAAAGTTTTGGAACGAATGATTTCGACATGCGCGCGCGGCCGGCGCGCGCGCGAGTGGCCCGCACGGAATGATTTGAAAAGGATCGTGCCTCCCACCCAGCAAGCGCGCAATGGCGCTCGAATGATTCCGACATGCGCGCGCGAAAGTCCGCGTGGCCCCATTCGACGAAACTGTTGAATCATGCTGGCGAAAGACCTAACCATATGCAATTGTGAATACCGTCATTGTGTGTACCGCCTTCGGCGGATTCCCGTAAGGGGCCACGAAGCGTGTGAAGGGTGTGCCAACATGTGGCGGGGCCGCCTTGCGGGCGTTGCCACTGGGGCCTTAAGCAGAGCCCCCTGTGGGGCCACGAATCGTGTGAAGGGTGTGCCGAATCGGCTGAGGGTACGCCATGCGGAATGTGCCGCTGGAGCCTGCGGTGGAGCACTCTTTGGGGCCACTAATCGTGTGAGGGCTGTGCCGAATCAGGCCTCCGGGGGAACTCCATGTGGGGCCACGCATGGTGTGAGGGGTGTGCCGGATTGGGCGAGGGTGCACCGTGCGGACGGTGCCGCTGGGGCCTTCGCTGGAGCTCCCTGTGGGGCCACGAGGCGTGTGAGGGTTGTGCCGAATTGGGTTAGGGTGCGCTATGAGGACTGTGCCTCTGGCGTCTTCGCTGGAGCGGCCACTAATCGTGTGAGGGCTGTGCCGAATCGGGTGCGGGTACGCCATGCGGACTGTGCGGTTAGGGCCCTCGGGCTAGCTCCCTATAGGGCCACCAATCGTGTGAGAGGTGTGCCGAAATGGTTGACATGCGGAAAACAGAGGCAGAGGAGGGAGGAGGGCGAGCGAGGAGGAGTGAGGAGTGACACGGGGCGTTGTCTTTTCAAAACGAGGACCCAACACAACAGGATGAACTGGGAAAGACTAGGCATCCTTCATGAGAAGTGATGTAAGCGAGCCTGCGCTTGACAAACATAATTTCAAAACAATGTTGCAATTATGCGTTTTTTTTGAACCTCGGTCTGGACATCCATGCGACACCTCAAATGTCTAAGCAGCAATCCGAATACGCGCGCGTCGACTCGCACGCGTGAGAATTGCCCCATCTGTTTTCGAAACTACTGCGTTTCATAAACGAATGTGCGCGTAGCGCATTCTTCGACCGTGGGGCGATTCATGGGGTTCCCTTGGAAGGCAAGACATCACATTCGGAATGAACAATGAAGCAGAATCGTGTCCATTGCAATGTCCCAGGAGATGGATAATTTCGCCGGGGGGGGCAGAGTCTATACGTATACTTCTCAGAAGAGATAACGCACGTGGTACAATGCGAGTGGTGACAATAATGTTGAAGAACTTGAAGTTGTCAACTCCACTGCTCGCGCAATCATCCCATCGACCCATCCGCAACTTGGTCTGCAAAGCCCGCGCGGCGGCCACTGCGATGACTGCATAGCGCTGGCTGGCGCATATCCGCAGCCGCACTAGCGCGCGCAAGCTCACGCGCAGAGCGGCCAGCTGGCGCGACCGCCGCGGCCGCGGTGGCGCTGACACATGGGGAGTTCCCAGTGCGTTTCACAAGCCTCACTGGTCCGCGGACGCGTCAGTGCGGGTCGATTACTCGGGCGGGCGCGGTATCATTTTTTTTGACATCCACGTCGCACCTCCACATCCCCGGGTAAGTCCGAGGGCCAGAGCCAGCAGCGGAGGGGGATGCTGGCTCCCTGACACAGACCAATAGTCTGAGTCATCGGCGCAAGTGAAACCAGCTCGAGAGACCAAAGGGGTCTCTGCGTCCTGACGTACCAGCACAAGGTGCACCTGCCGCAACATCTCTAAGAGAGGGGCAGGCACGCAAGGCAACAAAACGGACGCCGGACGGCGCCGTTGCTGGTCACGCCGATGACGATGATGATGATGATGATGACGATGATGCGATGATGATGATCATGTCCACTACACGTGTGTCGCCGGTAAAGATTCTGGCGGGATTTCAACACGCGCGCGCGGCCGATGCGCGCGCGTGGGCCGCATGGTACTATTTGCAAGAGATCGTGCCCCCCACCCCCGCCAACGCGCAAGAGCGTTCGAATGATTTCGACATGCGCGCGCGAGGGGGCCTCTGACGAAAATGTTGAACCGCCTGCGGCTTTCATTCGAATCCGCAAGCGCGCTGATTTTGCGAAGAAAATACTGGAAACCAAATTCGTTTTCTCCCAACTCTCCCTTTGATGGGTTTTCGTTTTGCATAAGGATCCCCGCCGAAGGCTATCATGGCCATTGCCGCACGCGTCCGCGCCACTCACGGCGCGGCGCTTCGCGGCCCCATGGGGTGCCCCACCAAAGGCCCCAGTGGCCGCGTTCGCATGCGCCCGCGCCATCCAGCGCGACGTTTCGCGACCCCTATCGATGGCCCGACCGCGGCCACCCAGCGCAGCGCTTCGTAGCCCCACAGGGAGCTCCACCGAAGGGCCCAATTAACGCGGCTGCCTGCGTCTCCCCCGCCGAGCGACCAGCGAAACGCTTCGCGACCCCATGGGGAGCCCCACCGGCACGACATTTCCAGCGACCGCGACCACATGCGCCCACGCAACCCAGCACTGCGCTCCGTGGCCTCATAAGGAGCTCCATCGAAAGCCTCAGTGGCCGCGGCAGCATACGTCCGCGCCACCTGGCACAGCACTCCGTGGCCCCATAGAGAGCTCCACCGAAGGCCCTACTAGTCGCGGCCGCAACCGTCCGTTCCACGCAAGACATCGCTTCGTGGGCCTATGAGGGTGCTCCACTGAAGGCCACACCGGCCGCGGCCGCATGCGCCCGCGCCACCTGGCCGCGGCCCCGCATGGAGGTTCACAGCAGCCCCCAGCGGCCGCGACCGCATGCGCCCCCCCCGCCCCCCGCCCATTAGATGACACCCTTTCGCGCGCTTCGGGGTCCCATGGGGATTTCTACCGAAAACGGCGCCCACAACGAGGCGTTCACAAATGCGTGGTTATGTCCTTCGCTGGTTGTACCACGTAACTTCCTGTTGTCCCTAAAAGCAACTCGCCCCCCCTCCGGGGATGTGCAGCTCGCAAACGATTCTGCCCCTTCGCGCCAGCCCACTCAAGTCGGGATCGACCCCCAACCGCGCAATCCTTTGCAAGAAGAGCACGATGCGCACACGCGCGCTGATCAAAAACCAAAAATTGTCGATAAGCCCCTTGCAAAAATTGGTGGACGCACACACGCGCGCGTCGTCGCGCGAACGCATGCCGAAATCCTTCAAACAAACTGGATGTCCGCACGGGTTTCAACATGGACTGCCCCGAACATCTAGATACAGACACCTAGTCTTGCTACGTGACCGTTCAAAAAATATAGGGTGTGCGCGCATGCGAATTTTCATGAAAACCATTGTATTCCCTCACGTGTTTACCAAACGCGACCAACAAAGGCCCCTCGCGCGCGCGTCGAAAATATTCGAACGCCCTTGCGCGCGCGGAAAGGTGGGAAAGGCACGACCCCCCGTCGAATAATACCGCGCGGGCCGCTCGTGCCCGTCGGCCGCGCGCGCGTGCCGAAGTCCTTCCAGAACCTTCATCGCCGACGCGCGGGCGCCACCATCGTCAATGGCGCGATCCACCTCGGCGCCGTCATCGGCCCTGACGTCGCCACCGTCATCGCCCTCGGCGCCGCTCGCCTCTGCCGTTGTCGACGTCGCCACGATACCGCGCCCGCCCGACGCACCGACTCGCACCGAAGTGCCCGCGCGCCAGCGCGGCCCGCGAGGCGCGGCGGGAAGTTCCCAGCGGTGCGGACGCGCCGGTCGTGCCCGACTGGCCGGCCGCCTCGCGCGCGAGCCTCCGCGCGCCGGCGCGGCCGCGGCGGTGCGCCAGCCCGCGCCAGGCACTCATCGCAATGCCCGCCGCGTAAGGTCTGCAGAGCAAGATGCGGGTGGGTGGGACGATTGCTCGAACAATGGAGGTGTCGACCGCAAGTTGGGCAGGATGAGTGATCCTGTCTGAAGAGGAGTTCGGCCCCCCGGAATACATTGTACAACAGCCGCGCCCCAAAGGCCAGAACCTCCCACAAATTAGATGTGCTCGCGCTCCCGAGACCATCCTTCAACGGAAATGAACCAATATTCGCGTCTCCGAAACATTAGTCGCTCGTGACGCGATGTTGGCGTCCCCGAAGCCACGATCCCTCG